ACGACTGAAAACTAGCTCAATCTGACTCAGACAACTTACAGGGCTAAATTCGTAAAAATATCTTCTGTTTTTTTGTTTGGTCACAAAGGACTATACTGTAATTTCATACCACTTTTAGGTTAGATTTGCATTTGATTGAAGTTTGGGTCTAGTATTGGGGTTAAAACCAAGTTGTAGGTTAGTTTTGGCAAAAACCCCATATAAATATTCCATATTATGAATCTGTGATTTTGTTAATATATTATAGATGCATTTAACTATTATTTACATATTTCCTTATAAATAATAGTAGATTCCTAAACTTATATCTATTAACATATTTTGTGTGACTAAGTTGGAATGTGTGATGTAATTTACCAAAACCAAATTGTTAAGCGTATCTTTGTTATTATAGATATGATTTTTCATAAGATATAATACTGATAAGATTATTAGAGAGTGAATGTAACATGAATTTCTAGTAATAGTCCATCTTTTTAAAAATCACACATGAATCAAGTCATGACTTCTGTTTTAATATATAAGATTTTAACCCTTGCGGTTGCGCGGATGTTTAATTTCATTTATATATTTTATAGATGTTTGTTATATATATTTTATTTTTATTTATTATTAACATTAAGCATATGTTTAAAGGTTTGTAATTATTTTAAATATAATAATTTTACATGTTATATTTAATTAATTATTATAAACTGTTACATGTATTTGTCTCCTCTTATTATATTTTTATCTTGATAAATTTACATTTGTTTATTAATTAGATCAATATATGCATGAAACAACATATTTAATATAAAAAATATTAATTTATCAATTTAGTATACTTTTATCCTATTTAAATCTTTATAAAATATTTTAATATGATAAATTATGATTATAAAATAAATAAAATAGGATAAAGTTCTATTTTTTATTTTATAAACAATATCTGAATATATAAATGTATAATCTTATTTTATTATTAATTATGAAATTAGTGAAAATATTAGATAAGATTTTTAAAATTGAGATCTTTTAAAAATCTTTTTCAATAAATTTGTTAAAATTATGAAATATGTATATTTACATTTAAAATGAAAAGATATCACAAGGTATTATGATTAAAGTAATCACATAGATTATATATTATATATTAATATTAAAAAATAGATTTATAAATGTCTAAGGAGGTCCAACTAAAAAATCACACATACATCAAGTGAAGTCATGATTTATGTTTTATTGTATAAGATGATTTGTGCTATGCTTGAGTGTTTTTTTTTTTTTTTGACATCGAAAGGCTGATCTATTACTCAAGCTTGAGGTGGTCTAGGAATCCAGACCGGAATAGAACAACCAACATACATGAGCTCACGATAAAAGGATCGTGCGGTCTTAGCTAAATGATCGGATACAGCATTAAGAGATCTAGGTATATAAGTGATCTTGAAATCTGGGAAGCAAATCCTCAGCGTCGAGATCCTCTCCAGTTCCGTCGAAAAGCTTGGCCATCCATGGGGATCCGTGAGCATTGCTACCAATTCCTTACAGTTCGTCCCAAAGCTCTGACATGGCGAATTTTGAAGAATGTTCTCCATTTCCCACCGCAGTGCTTCCAGCTCAGAATGCAAAGCCGACTCCACTCTGCTCATGTTACGCATCCCCATCAGCTGAATATTTCCCTTGCTATCTTTCCAATCCCAACCGCATCCGGAGAATTGATCTGTAGAGGTCCAAGAACCATCTATCATGCAAATATCACATAGGCTTATGGCCTGACGTTCCGAATCACCAGTTTCTTGTGCACTTACACCTTCCTGCTCTTTAGCTTGGAACCAGGAAAGACATTCACTCTCTGCATACCGAGCCAATTCTAAAGGGTCTCTATCTATTCCTCTGAACAACTTATCATTCCGAGCCTTCCAATTGTACCATATTAACCAAGGATAAGGATCTCTGACTAATTCTGGCCCACAAATGTCCTTCTTTCGCCAGAATAGATAATCCATATTCGCATATGTGCTCTCCAAAGGGAACAAAGTTGGACTGGTGGGTATAGATGCTAAGGCCCATACCTGTAAGGCCGGTGGACATTGAAAAATCGCATGTGCAATTGTCTCCTCTGGTTCACCGCATCGTGGGCAGAAGTTATCACATCTCATGTGTCTATGCTTTAACGCACTCGTAACAGCCATCTGCCCCGATATAACCTGCCACATAAGATGGCACATCTTCGGGGGTGCCTTGACCTTCCATACCTGTGCTTGAAGTCTTTTAATGCTAGGTTCATCCACCAGATTATCTTCCTCCTTCATTAATATATTTCAAGCTACCCAATAACCGGATTTAACAGTGTACTGCCCGCTCCTTGTGTAACTCCAACAATGTGTGTCTCTGCGATGGGTTGAACTAATTGCCATACTCCTTATGAGAGGTATGTCGACAGCGTCTACATAATTTGCCAGTCTCTCAAGATCCCACGACTTTGTTTCATGATTGATAAGATCACTCACTCTCATGTTCGGATGCAAAACCGGGGCAGTTGCATTTGCTGATCTCGCTGGGATTGTGGGAATCCATGGATCTTCCCATACCTTTACTTCATAACCTGAATGGATTTTCTGTCTAACCCCCAATAACAATAGGTCACGTACAGCCGAGATGCTTGTCCACACATATGATGGGCTGCTAACAGTGAGCTTTTGCAAAGTTTGAGCTCCACCAAAACTGTGCAATGGCACTAGCCAAGACATCACATATCTCCAAAGGAAGCAAAAAGCAAGACATAACATAGGAAGCAAAAAACAAGACATTGCACAGTTTTGGTGGAGCTCTATTATCGGTTAAGTCTTGCTATGTCTTGCTTTTTGCTTCCTTTGGAGATGCTTGTCCACACATATGATGGGCTGCTAACAGTGAGCTTTCGCAAAGTTTGAGCTCCACCAAAACTGTGCAATGGCACTAGCCAAGGCATCACATATCTCCAAAGGAAGCAAAAAGCAAGACATAACATAGGTTGAGAGAGCTAACAGGATAGACTTGATCATTACTTCCTTCCCGCCTTTGGATAACCACCTTCCCGTCCATCCATTCACTCTATGCCGAAGTTTGTCTTTTAGGAATGCAATCAGTTAACATTTCGAGCCACTGATATCCTCAGGTATCCCTAGGTAAGTCCCCATTCCTGCGTCATTTTGGATCCCAAGTATATCTTTGATCTCCTGTCTTGCCTCTTGACCGATCCTCTTACCAAAGAGTAGAGAGGACTTGTCAAAGTTAATGCATTGTCCAGAGGCTTGTCCGTATTTCCTGACCACTTTCATTACTTCTTCACATTCACGGGGCTCCGCCTTACAAAAGAAAAGGCTATCATCAGCAAAAAGCAAGTGGGATATCGATGGGCACGCACGCGTGATGCGCATCCCCGTTATCTTTCCCTGACTCTCTGCGTGATTAAGAAGGCTAACGAGCGCTTCCGTGCATAGAATAAAAATGAAAGGGGACAAAGGATCCCCCTGTCGTAAACCTCTTTCCGGGACAATGTTCCCTCTTGGCTGACCATTCATAAGTACCTTGTACTTCACTATTCTTACACAACGCATAATCCAAGAAATCCAGACTTCTGAGAATCCCATCTTCCTCATGGTGGCTTCAATGAAAGACCACTCCATCCGATCATATGCCTTACTCATGTCTGTTTTAATGGCTATCCTCTTATTACGCCCACTTGGTTTTGTTCTTAAGGCATGAAACAACTCTTGGGCTATCATTATATTATCTGATATCTGTCTCCCAGCAACAAAGGCTGACTGAGTTTCAGAAATCCTATCTGGAAGGACCATTTTTAGTGTTTGGCATAAGACCTTGGATATAATTTTGTAGCAGACATTGCAAAGACTAATGGGCCGTAGTTGACTCATCTGGTTTTGGCTTGTCAACTTTCGGGATAAGGCATATATTAGTTTCATTAAGACCAGTCGGGATGCTCCCTTGGAATAAGAATTCATTAACCATACGAGTTAAGTCGTCCTTAACGATATCCCAGAAGTTTTGGTAGAACAAAGCCGTCATTCCGTCAGGTCCAGGAGCTTTCTCAGGGTGCATAGCAAAAAGAGCTAATTTAACTTCCCACTCTGTGACCGGGGCTGTAAGACCCTCATTATCTGCAGGCGTAATTGTAGTACTAACTTCTGAAAGTGCCTCCTCAATCTCCTCAGGGTTAGATGATTGGAAGATTTGTCGGAAATAGCTAGTAGCAATGGCTACCAGGCCTTCCTCATCCTCTACAACGTTCCCCTCTGCATCTAAAAGTTGGGTTATCCTGTTCCTCGCTCGTCGCTGCTTCGTCAAAGCATGAAAAAACTTAGTATTTCGATCTCCCTCCCTTAACCAGAATATCCTGCACTTATGCTTCCAAAATAATTCCTCCGCCTTAAGGGCATCCGACAATTCTTTTAGTGCCGCCGATATCTCCTCTGTAGTGGCATCATCATTGGAGGATAGTCGATCTACTTTTTCCTTTAGCTCCTCTACAGTTTTCTCTGAATTCAGGTTATGTTGTCTCTTCTAATATGCTCCATAATACTTGCACCTGGAGGGAGGTCTGGCGATTTCCATCCTTCAAGAATAATCTGTTTAAGTTCCTCATTCTGAAGCCATCGCTTATCAAATTTGAAATTTTTCGATCTCCGTGGCTTCTTTTTAAGAATGTCTGCCAGGATTGGACGATGATCCGAACCCCAAACCCGTAGATATTGCACTTTAGAATGAGGAAATTTCTCATGCCAATTCTCATTACCCACAGCTCTATCAAGACAACATCTTACAGTAGCATTTCCTGCTCTCCTTCCTACCCATGAAAGCATATTCCCTGTGAACGGAAACTCCAGCATACCACAGTCACTGAGCATCTGCTTAAAAGGCAAGAAGGAGTTGTCCGTACGTTGCCTGCCGCCTTCCTTTTCTTCATGACAAGTAATTTCATTAAAATCACCAATCATAAACCAGGGTCCATTTCTTGTTGTAGAGAAACGCGTAAGACGTTCCCATACTAATTCTCTCCGTTCTACTACAGGATCCCCATAAAAAAAATGTCATATAGACTTTTATTCCATCAATGACTGCCTCAATGTCAATCATTCTATTATTCGAAAATAAAATCTTAACTTGAAAATCATCCATAAAAAACAAAGCTAAACCACCACTGAGCCCATTTGGCTTAACAGTAAACAAACGGTCAAATCCTATAGTTTATTTGCTTGAGTGTAAGTGGATATCGATTATCATGGTTTATTTGCAGATTATAGTTTTATGTTTTATGTTTGTTCTTATAGTAAGATGCTCCTGTGTGGGTTCTAGTAATTTTTTTTGTGGATTTGTGTTTTTGAGAACTTCTTATTTTTTTGTCAGCTTATATATTCGATCTAATATTACTCCTTTGAATAATAACTATCAGCTGTAAAAAAAACAGGTACCTACAATAACTGAAATTAATTAATCGATGGGTTAGATCAGATCTGGAGAGGCTTAATTTATGCTGTCCCCATTTAAAAAAAAAACCGTGGCACTTAATCATACTAATTAACCTAATCCCACAGTTTTGGTTGGACTACTAGTTGACTTTCAGGTTCCGAGGAAAATAATGGAAACAAAGCTAGAGGTTGTGGGGGAGAGAAGTGATCAAACCAGCTTCACCCGCACCTCGAGATCTCCTTCAACTCTCCACGGTCGATGTTTATAGTCCACCAAAGTACGTTTCAACAATCTTCTTCTACAAATCCGTCTTCGGAGAGTCCTTAGAGATCATATCTGAGAGGCTTAAAACCTCTCTATCTGAGACGCTCTCACGTTTCTACCCTCTAGCTGGAAGAATTGAAGGTGACAAAATCATCTGCAACGACGAAGGAGCCTTCTTCACTGAAGCACGCACATATCTTCTCCTCCAAAATTTTCTCAAAAACAACCCCCATAATACCAACTCTCTTCCAGAATTTCTCCCAACAGTTACACCAGGTGAATATGCTGGGACATGGCCATTTCTGAGCGTTAAGGTCAACTTCTTCGGATCCAGATCAGGAGTCGCGGTCACCGTTTCCATATCTCACAAAATCTGCGATGCGGCCTCGGTTTTGACTTTTGTCAGTGACTGGGCCGCTACAGCGAAAGCTCATGAATCTAATGACGTCGTGATGAATATTCCCACATTTGCGTCAACTACCATTTACCCTCCTCATCATAGCTCTTTCCAAAGTTCTTCAGTGGGTGGCCTTTACCCGTTTAGAGGCAAGTGTGCAACCAATAGATTCTTCTTCAAATCCTCTAAGATCGCTAAGCTTAAACGCAGAGCCACGAGCGAGACTGTCCTGGTCCCTACACGTGTTGAAGCCATCGTGTCACTTATATGGAGATGTGCTACAATCTCATTGTAGGAATTTATACCGGTTTATAACAATTTATAAAACAACCTATGAATTTTATTTGCCTAGAATCTCATGTCAATACTTAAATAAATCTAGATCTTAGGGTTTCGAATATACCTGGCTATTCGCAGCGGAAATATGAATAAACCAAGTCGAGATTTAAAGCACTCCAATTGTTGTGCCTCTACCGGTATCCACATGCACACAAACTGGATCGATATGGGATGCTAGTACCGTCGAGATCAAATCTCAAAACCTTGAAATCAAAATATCATTGTCTTATAAAGACAACCTTTTTGACCTAATACACGTGACTAAATTTCACGTAATTAGTCCATTGGACACAAGCCCACTTAGAAACATTAGTAGTTTCTTTTCCCACGAAGCCTAACATATAAATATACATATAATGTACTTATATCATATATAACACATATGTATATATCTATGTTACTTATAAAACCCTATTGATCCAATTTTTTTAGGTGTGTGACCCTTTAGAATCATATAAAATTAATAAACGATTTTCAATCCATAGATTATAAGCGGTTTCTAGCAAAACATTATAACCACCTAATTTTATATGATTGTCAAACCTCGACGTTACGACTTTAACAAGAGTAAGTATAAATGATTTTAGGACATTCCCAACAATCTCTCACTTGTAATAGAATCATCTATCCTCATAATCCCTTTGTCTCTATATCTTGATCTCAGCATAAGGCAAGAACTAGTGTCATCCTTATTAAGCTAGATCATGTTTATCGAACTCTGATTTGTACTGATAAGACAAACGACTGACATTCACCTCATTTGAGCATGGCCATGCATTTCTCAGTATTAAATCTTCGATAGGCCATGAGATATTTATCTCCTGTTATATAGGAGGGACAAATCCCATCTTGTTCCATCCCTGTTCCTTTCAAATTTCATAGAACACCTAATCAATGTCTTTATAATCACCAGTTACGGCTGACGTTTGACAAGGTCAAAGTGAACTAATCCACAAGTAAAGAATCATGAAGAACTGAGGTCTAAGGACTATACTCTATAGTCGTAATGAGAAACTCTTATGACACTCATATAACAATCTTGCAGAGTTCTCATTAGCAAGTCAGTCCGATCATGTGTTCTCTAACACATATCCATGTGATTGACTTCAAGTAAACCATGTGATTCGACGCTATTAAAGAAAAAAATATGGTAACATATAACAAATTACTATATATTATCACTAAATTTTAATATTTTTACTTTATTGATAGTCTGACAGTACTTAATGTTAGTTACTTATATATAATGCTAAACATATCATTAAGTTTTTTAAAAATAGAAAATCTAAAGTTTACCATAAATATATTAGTATAACTAAATTATTAATTATTATTCTTAGAAAATTATAACTAAATTATAAATTGTAAATATATTTGTAAACCCAAATTATAAATTTTATCATCTGCTAAGTTATGTTAAAATAATTATTTATAATTTAAAAATTACAATTGATTAATGTTTAATTAGCTAATTAGAGATAAGAGAAATCTACACTAAGTCGAACGTCTACATATGCTCAGTTAAATATGATATTCTACTTTAAACCATCTTTTGAAAACAACGGTAGTAAGTATACAGCAATAGATGGGGTAATATATTGGTTAATATGGAGCTGGTACTAAGTACTAACTATCATTTGAAAACATCTTGTTCTTGTCCAGATTATAGATTTATAGTACGTTAGGTTTTACTAAGATTATGAACCACCACTTGTTTCCAACAGAAACCAAGCATGAACTACTGTCGAACATCTACATGTGCTCAGTTAGATATACTTCATTTCAGATGCATCAAAGCACAACTCTGAATTATTTGGCTTTTAACGTACGGTAGTCAATAAATGTCTTGTACTCATGTACATTGTATAGATTTATGGGCATTACCTTACCATCATCAAATTGTATTGGTCTGAATCGTATAGGTTCTTGTAGAAAGATTTTGTACAGAGAAGATAGCAGTATGGTTAATCTATTACTTGTATACGTACAGAGAAGATAGCAGTGTGGTTAATCTATTACTTGTACACGTACAGAGTCATTTTCAGTTCAAGCTGAATATATGACATGATAAAAATTTCAATTAATTTAAACTGATTTTTAGTGAATATATGACGTGATAAAAATTTCAAATAATTTTAATTTAACACATTGTAAGACCGATCGGACATGTTTTGTATACTTTTAAGTTATTTTATAATTAACCCTTTTGCTTTAAAGTTGTAACTAAATGTTGTGTATATAAACTGGACATTTAGTGAATGAATTGATACAAATATCAACTTGTTTAAACTTAGTCATGTTTTTTAATACAGTTTGGACACGTATTCGTTTGGTTGAAAGTTATTTTATTGTTCACACTTTTTATGTAAAGTTGATTTAAGTGCTGCTTATACAAACGAATGCTTAATAAGTAACTGACACGATAAATATTATTTAAACCTAAACAAATTGTTTGCAGATATTCTGATCGAAACAGATAATACTCAAATAAGAAATACTGCGTCAGGGTTCTCAATATCTTAACCGATGTCATGCCTGGTTTCTTAGCCATCCTGGAAGATGTTCCCCCTGAAGGCTTCTTAGTGTCGGGAGGTGCTACATACCGGAGGACACCAATAGTATTAATATTGTTGCAGGTGCAAGCAAATGCTTACACAGTCCGTTAAAGCTTCATAGTAGACTTGGAGAAAGAGACTTAACAGCACCCATTGTCGTCTTGATGCCAGTGACCTTCCAAGTGCAGATAAAGTCAATCTTCTACATTTTTATAATATCTGAGTCACATACAGTGATACAGAGCTCTAAACATGCAGGACTCAAACCATTAAAGCTACATAGTAGATTGTCAAATTACATAGTAGTTCTAAACAAAGGAGATAGTTACCATATCGGTGGGGCTCTGCATCTGAATCCATCTGACCAAGCTGCTGAGCGAAGATTGTTGTCCCTGGTTACACAAATTCAATCACCATTAGAATAGCATCAAGTAAACTGAAAGCTGTAAGCAACGCTGCAGAAAAACACCATTATCCAAAACTCAAAACATGTAACAGTAGAGCATCCACAAACCAAATATTTATTTCAAAATCAACACCGATCCTTGAAAACTCAAGTAATCAAAAATACTTGCCCAATCAGAGAGCTAGAAACGAACAAATATGTCTCAAAAACCTGTGACAGTATCCACCAAAAGAACATGTTAATTCTCAAAAACAAAACCGATCCAACAACACTCGCCGAATCAAAAAAGGTACAAACAACCAAAGAGATATGTCGCCTAACCTATGATTCAATGTATTGATCAACGAAGCTCAAAACCTGTGACAGACGAAGCAATCTACAACGTGTTGATTTTGAGAAACAAATCTGATCCATGGAAACTCAAGCAATCTACAACACTCGCCGAATCAGACGAATAGATCTATCTCCTAAACAATGATTCAACGAAGCTTGTGATTCGATCAATGATGGTAGTTTCTCAGAATCCAGAAGAAAATCATGGACTATTCTTCGAAGAATATGTATGGAAGACGAAGAACCGCTAGAGAATTTTCAGGAAGAGGAGAGGCGACCTTCTTCGTTGATAGTTGATTGTATTAGGGTTAGAGGCACTCCTTTTTAATCGGACCAGAAACTTACTAAACCGAAAGCCTAAATGATGTGTTAACCGTTGCTGACATGGACTTTCTGAGCTGTCATCCTATGTGGCAGTGTTTAGAGGGAAGGATGCATTACTTTATATAATAGATGATCTATTTAATCTCTTAGATTAACTCTTATAAATGGTTTTATAAACCTTATAAGATTTTAAAAACCCTTATAGAACCTTTAAAAAAAATAATGTACCCTGAAAAATACTTTAAAATAATTCTTATAACATATAAAGCCTTATAAGAGACTAATAATAATTTATAAATGATTTTATAAATATTTATAACACATTAAGATGATTTTATAAACACATATAAATTATTTATATTTATAATTACTTACACTTATAAGTAATTTACAAATAGTTACAAGTAATTTATAAACTTTTATAAATAATTTATTAATCCTCAAAACTCTTACATATAATTTTATACTCTTATGAATGAGTTTATATATAAAAATGTATTCATGTGTTGTGATTACCTGATAATCATAGAATCACATAATGGAATATTCAACTCCATATAAAGGATTGTTGATTTTTCAAGTGATCATGTTGTAATCAATCCTTGTTGGTGTAGTGATTGGTTACATCATATGTCATGTATTTATGTATAAGTTTTTATCAATATTTATAACTGATTTATATACTTTAAATTGATCTATGAAACATTATAAAATATTTTTAACTCTCTCTAATTTATAAACTTTTATAAATCTGTTGTAAAAAATTCTTATAAATCATACAAAACTATTTATAAATTCTTACTATTAAACATATATCCATGATTCCTTAAAAATGTTTTAAAGCAATTGAATAGCTTTGTACGCCCTTATAATTTTTTAATAAACTCTTTCAATTCTTAAATGATTATATAAATTCTTACAAAATGATTTATAAACTCTTATAAATTTATTTATAAACGCTTATAATTTTTTTTGCAAACTCTTATAAATTAATTTATAAACTATTATAAATAAAGTGGACTTATGAGTAATGTTCTATAGGATTTTTAATCCTTACAAATGATTTTATGAACGCTTATAAATGATTTAGTTAATCCGTAATGATTTATAAAATGGTTTATAAAATTCTAAAATGGTATATAAACCTTTTAATATTGATCTATATGATCTTTTAAATCCTCATTAATGTTTTTATGAACCTTTATAAATGATTAAGTTAGCCCTTATAAATATTAAGTTCTAAAAAATGTTTATAAAGTTCTAAAATTGTTTATAAACTTTTTAAAAAGATAAACTAACTCTAATAAATGATTTATAAAATATTATAAATGCTGAAAGGAACATGTTGATTAAGATAAATTAAAATTGAATACTGGTACTACAGAATGTGTAAAAATAAATTTTTCCTTAATATCTATAGAACGAAGGTAGAAGAATTTTTTTTCTTTAATAAAAATGTATTTGTGAAAATGTCCATTTGATGAAGATAAATCATGGTATAAAAAATATGGTAAACTTGAATTTTTTTTTCGAGTTTTTATGGGACGTAGGCCTCCCACAAGATAACTGAGAAAATTGTATATTTCAGAGACATAGTTTAAAATATTGAAAGGAATTAAATACTATTGGTAGATAGTTGAAAATATGTAGTAAGAACATGTAATAAATTTAATTGTAAATTTTGATCCAAAAATTAACTATAAATATTCGTTATATTCTTAATATGTAGCAATACTATTGAAAATCCTTTTTTTGGTAACTTTAGTTAAAGTTTAAAATTTTATCAAAAGTTAAATATTTAAATAAATATGAGAAATTGCGCGAAACATCATAAGTTAACTACAATTTTCTAAAAATACACGTAATCATATTTTTATATTTGGGTTTAGAATTTAATGTTGCTTAGATTTAGTTTTTAAAGTATTTTATGAAAATTATTATTATTTAAGAGTAAATTTTAAAATAGTATACCGTTTATGACAAAATTGAAATTCGTGTGAAAAAATATTCACGGATGTATAAAACCGTACAAGTGATTAATCAAGTTTAATTGTAGAAATTATTTAAATTAAAAAACGAAATAAATGTAAAAAGTATAAATAAAAAAATATAAAATTTTAAAATAAATAAAAATTTAAATATTAACAAAAAAATTATTTATGAGCAAACCCATCTAGTGTAGTTATACCATAGTTAGGCAGTTAAATTAATCAAATGGTAATAAAGAAGAGTGACTTAAGAAAATATAAATTCCATTTCCTCTCCTCCTCGACCTTCCCTAAATTTTCTCAGGTCGGAAAGCTCTAACAGAACTCTCAGGTCAGGCCACCGTCGCTACTATTACAGATCCGACCTGACAACTTCCGACCGATTGATGTCGAATTCCTGATTGGATCTTTCTTCTACCCTTGCGAAACCCTAAGTACACATTTCGTCGACTTAACATTGTTTCCGAAATCGATTTTCTGCGTCACTATCAATGGGTCGCTCTCGTGGTAACTTCCACAATTTCGAAGATCCTACCCAGAGGTATGCTTCCTATTCCCAGAACTGTTTTTTTTTCGGACATGGGTTCTGTCTGATTCCTCCAAATTTCCAAAATTGATTCAATTGCAAGCTTCTATGAATATGGGTAGTTCAATAATCATTTGGTTTTCAATTATGATCAAATGCTTCAAATTTCGTGGCTTTTTTTTTAAAAAAAAGTAGTTATAGTCTTTCCTTATCTTTATAATCTGTATGATTGTGTGTGTGGTTGGTTGCAGAACGAGGAAGAAGAAAAATGCGGCTAATGTGGAGAACTTTGAGTCTTCCTCTATTGGTTAAGATTACTCTCATCAGACCCTTTTTTTTGGTTTCTTCTGGAAAGGTTCTTCCTTTTGAACTCAAAAACATTGAACTTTCCAGTTACAGGAACCGAGGCAGGAGGGAAATACAACTGCGATTATTGCCAGAAAGACATTACTGGCAAAATCAGGATCAAATGTGCTGTCTGTCCTGATTTTGATCTCTGTGTTGAATGTATGTCTGTTGGTGCTGAGATCACTCCTCACAGATGTGATCACGCCTACCGAGTTATGGTTAGTTTGCTTTTGCTTTTGCTTTTCTTAGTGTGCCAAGTTTTCTGTAACGATTTCATCATTTCAACCAAATATACATGGTTGGTTTTGTCAGGGAAATCTAACTTTCCCGCTTATTTGTCCGGACTGGAGTGCGGATGATGAAATGCTTCTCCTGGAGGTACTACTACTCCCTTCTTTCTTTTAAGATCTTTTTACTGTTATGTGGCTTATAATTTATGGTCTTCTTTTTGGTTTTTCTCTCTTTAATTCAGGGACTTGAAATTTATGGAATGGGAAACTGGGCAGAGGTCGCGGAGCATGTAGGAACAAAGAGTAAAGAACAGTGTCTCGAGCACTACAATAACATTTATCTGAACTCACCGTTTTTCCCACTTCCAGTATGATATATATAACATATATTTGCCACAGTAGTACTAGCCTTTTGCAATGTAATTAATCTAGAGAAAACTTTTTATTTCCCAGGATATGTCTCATGTAGCAGGGAAGAACAAGAAAGAACTTCAAGCCATGGCCAAAGGACGCGTCGATGAGAAGAAAGGTCTGCAGCACTGCTTTTCTTTAATGGTTATGTGATTCTTTGCTGTACGTGTTGCTATCCTAATTCTGAAATTAATGTGGCTTTTTTCTTTGGCAGCAGAGCCGAACATGAAAGAAGAGTACCCGTTTTCTCCTCCTAAAGTCAAGTATGTCTTTTGTTCTTCTTCACAGATACTTTACAGTGATACCAACCTAGACCTTTTTCTCATTTCTTATCCAATTTTCTTGCAGAGTTGAAGACACACAAAAAGGTGAGTTCTTTGCTTGGTATGTTATATGCGGTTCGAATATAAGTGTTCTTCTACTTGTGTTATTTACTTGCCCATAGCTCAAACCAGTAGTTATATCTTGATCACCACCTCTATTAGAGTCTCATACAGACAGGAGTTTTGGAGGAAAGAAACCTGTTACCCCGGGAAACAACTCTTTGGTTGAATTGAGTAACTACAACCACAAAAGAGAAGAGTTCGACCCTGAATATGACAATGATGCTGAGCAGCTCTTGGCTGAGATGGAGTTCAAAGACAATGATACTCCCGAAGAAAAAGAGCTGAAGCTGCGTGTGTTGCGTATTTATTCGAAAAGGTATAAGCATTTTAAGATCACAAGGAGAAAAAAACAAAATCAAAAAAGTCTCTTCCTTTTGCCGCTCATGTTGATGCGAGTGAGTTGTGATCTTTGCAGACTTGATGAGAGGAAACGTAGAAAGGAATTCATACTAGAAAGAAACCTTTTGTACCCAAATACCTTTGAGAAGGACCTGTCTCAGGAGGAGAAAATGCAGTGTCGGCGTTTAGACGTGATCATGCGTTTTCATTCAAAGGAGGAGCATGAGGAGCTACTCCGTACGGTTGTGAGCGAGTGTCGCATGATGAATCGGCTCAAAGAACTCAAGGTAAGGACATTGCTACCCTCAAAACTGTGTGTATTCGGTTGTTTTGGATGCAACTCACTGTGTTGGATTCTGTGATAGCAGGAAGCTCAAATGGCAGGGTGTCGCTCCACGGCTGAAGCAGAGAGGTACCTTTCGAGGAAGAGGAAGCGAGAGAACGAAGAAGGGATGAACAGAGGGAAAGAGAGCGGTCAATTTGCAGGGGAAATGGGAACTAGACCACCTGTGCAAGCATCTTCAAGCTATGTGAATGATCTGGACCTGATTGGGTTCACGGAGTCGCAACTGCTGTCTGAATCCGTAAGTTTCAGAGATACTAAACACAGTGGTGGAACAAGCGTGAGATGAGCTAAAAGGAGAGTTTGTTTGTTTTTTTATTTTTTTGCAGGAGAAACGTCTATGCAGCGAGGCCAAGTTGGTTCCATCGGTTTATCTCCATATGCAACAAGTGATGTCACAGGAGATATTCAAAGGGAATGTGACGAAGAAGTCAGATGCATATAGCTTGTTCAAGATTGATCCAACCAAAGTGGACAGAGTTTACGATATGCTTGTGAAGAAAGGTATTGCTCAGCTATAAGACTTTGTGTTGTATCATTGTATCTATCTATCTTTGTGTGAGCTCGATTGAGTTATATGTTCCTTTGTCACAATTGTAGTTTGTATACTCTGTTCTACATGTCATTAGTCATCAATGTTGTGCTTATGAAAATAGTCTTTTTTTATCCACTTGATATTGTTACAAGATCAATCAACGTGGTAGGCCATTTTATTTGACATAAAGGTACCAAATCATGTACATTTGTAAAGCTTTTGGATACAAATCTCTCAGTCGTACTTGTGAGAATCATCAGGCCGCCCGGCGACGTATTCCATGATTCCCTCGCCGGTAGCTTCTTCTGAAAGCTGTTGGAAGCCACCAAAGGTGATTGCCACCGCCAAGAAGGCGGCCGTTGACGCAAACAGAGGCCAGAAATAAGCTAATATGTCGAGAAATCGTGGTGCTGCGTACACGAGGGACGACACAAACAGGCTTACCATGATTGCGACCATCAAATGGAGTTTGTATTCCTTTAGTCTTGCTTGAATCTCCATTTTCCTTTTGATCTAGAGAGAGAGAAGATGTTGAAACTAAAACCTCTAAAGAATGCAACTTATGAGGAAGGAGATGGAGATGGTTTTAATGTCAAAGTATACCTTTTAGCTTTGTTGATCAACGGAAGTTCTGAAGTCCTTTTCTTCAGTGACTGTGTGCTTTGGTGAAGATTCCATTGGTTACCATTAATCTAACCAACTACTAATGATTACTCTATCTGGAATGACATGAATACCCCGCAGTTTGGGAATGTAGAGGGACTTAGTCGTCATTTTAGGTGTGTTGGATGAGGCATTGGAGATGCCTTTGTCTCTTTTCAAAGTCTTGATTACTAAACTTAGCAAAGGTGCTTCCTTTTGATCATATCCAGTGGAAAGGCATCAACTTTGTATTCTTTGTTTACATTACAAAACTCCATTATGCTATTACCACCCAAGTGTTTGATTTTACCATTACAGAATCTACTATAATTAAAAGGACTAATTCTAGCCAGATTAGAGTGTCCACGTCCTCAAATATATTCAACCAATAGAAAATCAGCTTTTCACCACGTCAGCGAGCTTGCTTCATCGTATGGGCTTGAAATCTCTCCGGCCCGGTAAATTTCCATTTCGAGTAACATGTGAAGCCCATCAAACGGCGAATACCCCTTTCCCCTTTTGCGAAGTGCAACCCCTAATTTACCAAAATTGGTTCACAAATCCTTTCTCTTCGTCTTCTTCGTTTCCTCCGTTTCACGAATCTTTTAATCAATTCACTCCCCACTACTGTACACTCTTGAATCTCTTTAATGGATTCTTTTCACTTTCTCCCTCCGAGTTTCTATATAAATCTCTTACTAGATGTTTTATTTCCATCAAAAGTTGTTCTATCCTCTTGATTGTACATTACCATGTTCCTGAAATTGATTAAGATGGTGGAGGTGGAGTGGCGCCCAGCGGTGTCAGATTTGATGATGGTGGACCATAGTCATCTCTCCCACCCACCACCGTCCTCTCTATCATAAATCGCAGCGGTCATGACCATAAAAGGCGTTCGTGAGCAGTGGAGGCCTTTGTTAGCAAGGGTAGTGGTGATGAGCAGAGGCGGCAGCAGTGGTCGCGAGCAGAGGCGGCAGCGGTGGTCGCGAGGTTTAGTTGTTGATTAATTAGGTTTTGGTATAGAGTATATGATTGGGTAATTGTTGTCTCTTGGTTTTTGCAAGTGTTCAAGAGTTCCTGGTGTTCTCTTTGTGCTTATGGGCACTTATGTTGATCTACAGTTCAGAAAATACAGAGGTAATTATTTCTCTCTTATCTCTTCCTCATTTACATCTCACTGTTTGTGTAATGTTTGTTGCCTTCATTTGGCCTTATCTAAAAACTCTAGACTTATTAGTGGCTTTGTATATCATTTTCAGATATATCGATCATCAATACTTTTACAAAGGATCAATGGCAGGTGAAGACTTTTAAGTTTCCTTACCTTCTGAATTATTCCTTTTAACAAAGGTTTCTGGATGGGATATGGCTAATGATAATGGTACACTAAAGCAGCATCGGTCATGGGTAGTGAAAAGTTTTCCAAAAGGAACTTCTTAAAACGTGTTGCTGATATCAGGAGATAGCGTGGGGAAAGATGTGTTACTATTATTGTCTCTGAAGCAAGGATCGGTTTGATGCAGGCCATCACCCAGATTTGCATCTGGTAGGCTGGAATAATATGAAGATAGATATATGGACACATGCCATAGGTGAGAATCATAGTCCACGTTGTTGATATGAAGATATGAATCTTATCAAATGCCTGAAACATCTTTCTAATCATATTTTTGGTGGATTTTATTAGTCGCAAGTGTCTAATAAGCTATATCTAATTCTCTTGCAATACGTGGTGTGACAGAGAACGACTTCATTCGTGCTGCTAAGATCAACGAGCTCCATGTGGAGGATCTTCTGAGGAAGAAGAAAGTTGCCAAATGAAGGATGTTTTGGTCTACAAACTCTGCCAAACAAGCTTTAAATCTATGCAAGATGAGAATAAAAAGTGAGCTAGAGTGAAAGTTTGATGTTTCTTCAGCGTCTATGGTTTTTGTAAAGCTGTTTGTGTCCTTACAATCTCAAAACCCACAGATAAGGCAGTGTGGCTACAGGTGTGGAAGCAAGTACTATCTGTTTCACAGCAAATTAATAATTTCAGGTGTAAATACAGTAAGTATGTTTGTTTATTTAAAACCACAAACTATCCAAACAAATCTCCATAACCTATTTACATTCAAGAATTTGCATGAATCTGTACAAAAGACACTTATCATTCTTCCAAATATATAAAAGCCAGTTCAACAAGTTCAGTCTTCAGAAAACGATGAAGTTGTTGATGACCGAATAGTTTCACTGCATACAAATGCTTCTTTTGCCTTTTTTCTTCTCCAGATTAAGCTCTGAGCTTTTTCATAGCTATCAACGTTGAATCAAGTTGGTGTACTAATCGTTTCAACCATTTTTTATGCTACAGCTGGTACAGGTTCTACAACAATATCCATTGAGAGCAAATTTAAGAACTTTTAGCCTTTGAGTTAGCCACTAATATTTTTTAAGAGATGGGTAGGTTAATTTCTTTCAAGTCCTTTCACTGCAACGCCATTAATATCTGTCATTTTGGGTATAAACATGGATAAAGCTCGCCTGAGAGAAACACTCTATGGACTTACTAGATCGTCATTGACATTTCTGGCTCTTGCAGAGTCCCTGTAGCAATGGGGATGAACACAATCTTGACATCTCTAGACATGACAGGCGCAATGCTGAATTTGCTGTTCTTACCCTCCATCTGAAACCACAAACATATAAGTACCATGTCAAGTTACAAAACTAGAACAAACATATAAGTACATATAAGTACCATGTCAATCTGATCCACAAAAATGTAAATTAACATCCTCTCATAACTCAAGCAAGAGTCAAGTTACCATTTCTTTGTCATGCTTGAGATGCTTTTTCTTGATGCTGGAAGAATCTGTAAATACAAAAACAACAAGCTTAGCACAAGTTTACAAGGAAAGACTAATGGTTACCATCAGAGCTTTACCATGATGGAGTAGAATATCAGCAGAAAAGTGATCATCCCAGAGACTCTGCTGCTCTTTGATGCATTTGAGGTGATCATGTAAGAACATCTCCCAAGCTATGTCGAATTCCCTTTTTGCAGCAGCAGCAGAAGAAGCGATTTGCTTGGTCTTAGAAGAAGCTTGGAGTTGACCAATAAAGACGCTTATACTAAAAGATTATTAATTAAAAATTAAAAAAAGAAATATTAATAATGTTAATTTTTTAATTACTCTCATATCTTCATCTAATTGAAGAGTGTGAATCAACGTAGGCCAATATGTGAAAAGCTGATTTTTTAAAAATAATATTATTAAAATTAATCATGTATTATAATTAATAAACATTCTTTAAAAAGTTTATGAAAAATTTTGATTTAACATTAAACTTTTATCCAGTTAAAATATTTTTGTTCACTGAATAATATTTTCATGAAGTTGAACATGCTAGGATTGTTTATGTAGCTATTAAACGTATTATTTATATAGTTCTTTTTGATACATCTACATTAATTAAGGCATAAATCGGCACAATATTTTACAATACCTATGAAAATAGATTTTAACCTACAAATATATGATTCATCTTAATTTTGATAGTATATAAAGTATAATGCTCATATTCAAATTAAATTATATATTAACCTAAATTAGTAGAAACAAATAATAGAAAAACTAAGAAAATCTAGATGTAAAATAAAAAACTGTAATTAATGTTTTGACATTTTTTTTTCAACGACATATTTTATTTAATAATAAAAATAAGAAACTAAATAAAATAAATGATAATAGAACAAGTAAGTATTAACAAAACTTAAAATAAAATAAATATTAACAAAAAAAACCGCGCGTAGCTTTGTAAAAAAGCTAGAACATATTATCAAAAATCCAAAATAATAATAATAATACTACTTTAATAGGAGAATATCTGCATAAAAAATTAAAATTAAAATCAAATTTTAACATGAATTTCTGAAAGAAAAAAATCTATTAAAATCTTATAATTTATGGTCAAAAACTTACAATATCCGAATAACACTAAAAACTGTGTAGAAAGGATGTTTTGAACCAATGACATTCATCCTTTCTAATATAAGCATGTTAGATGTAAGATCATCCTCATTGTTCAAATATTAAAAAAAAGATTATGATATATATGATAAGCGTTTAAGAATATCTCACAAGATTTTAAATAAGATTTTCCTTATTTATCTCTTAGGTTTTATAAAATTTACATTTTCAACGATTGAGTTTTATACAGATGGATTTCTCTAAGTTATGTATTTGGGTATAAGAATTTGTCAGTGCCAAGTCAAGTTAAATTGGTGATCCTTTATTTCTCAGATACTTCTTACCACCAAAAAAGATAATGAAAAAAACAAAAGATAATGGAACCCAATCAACCTGGTTTATAGCCATCACATAAGTCTATTATTTTTCCCAAACATTCTTTTTCTAGAATACTCTTAAATAAATATATTTAAAAAATTGTTAAAAATTTATGTTTCAATTTTTGAATTTCATATTAAAAATTAAGTATTGATAAAGGTATGGTTTTATAAGCTTCCATCATTCAACCGATTTACAATGCGCAACATATCAATCAAAAGAAAGTACATCACATAAAGAATGACTTATACATAGTCTCTACCTAGCTAGATCAGATATGTATCTTTTCTATTTAAATTAAGATGTCTTAATATCTTTTTTCAGTTTGAGTTAACTAACATAATCTTTACTATTTTCAGGCTATTTCTCTCATATGGTCCACATTAGCGCTAATACTCTTCTCTAAAAAAAATACATTATCTATTTCTTACATTATTTATTATCATTTAAACTATTCTCTTTATTTATAAAAAGTACAAACACTCAATAATCATTAAGTTTTTCATATTCTTTTTTAAAATACAATGTTCTCGATCCAAAAATAGTATTGAAAATTATGATTCTAATCTAAATTATTTATTCACGTATCCGCACGTAGCGCGGAGAAAGACTCTAGTTAAAATAAAAACACTTAACCATAGCATAACTGTGACATTTTCCCTTTAATAAGTTCCTAAAAATCAACCTATTAAAGGAGCTGTAAGTCGAAAACTTTAAAGATCACAGGACACAAGATTTACTTAGGAGAATGCAACTACTAGACTGAGTTGTATCAAAACTATCTCTCCCTTCTGGTATACTCACCTCAATCCACAGAGAGATTCAAAATAATACAGCAAAATGAGCTATCAAGCCACCTCATAAGTTATCTAACCTCTACTATTGTCTGCAAAGATGGCTTCCATCTCCGCTTGCCGCTCTTACAAGTCTCTGGGAGCTTAAAGGAAACGCCCTCTGCATTCAGCAGCATCTCCAGCTGCTTCTTTGTGACAGTGATCTTTATGCACCGCTTTGTCCCAGTTTTCTGCACAACCGTCTCTCGAGGTAAATCCTTGGTCTTCTCCGTTGCCGTCTCATCAAACCAGACATCTCTAACTTTGTTTCCATCCTTGCAACGCAATGTGGGAATGCAGTTTCCCATATTGCGTAGTGATGTTAGTTCTGATGATGCCTTGACTGACTCCTACAGTTTTATAATCAGCTCTTACCAACGTGCAAACCATCATATCACCACTAACTCGTTTTTATATTAAGGTCAGCTAATGTAGCAGCACTTGAAAAACATATCTTGTTTTACATGTAGCATGCTTTCCAGGAGGCCAAGTCAAATCGCCACCCCTCATCATTAAAGTCAATACAAGGATAATGAAAAAAGACCATAAACTAAGGAGAAGGAGACTTTATCAGCTCTCTAAATAGTAATCAAATGTGTATAACACTGAGTTTGCTAGCATTACAAAAATCTTCACTGATCCAGAAACTTCCGGTATCAGGATGAAAAAAGCTCGAAGCCACATAGATATATCAAAAGTACATACGAAAGATGAGGAAAACTACACAGAAACTTCTCCTGACGAACGTCTAGACTCCAACCATGCCTTTGCTGCAACACTTGTAGTCAAAAACCAACCAACCTTGTCCGGAGCTTCATGGAAGGGAGCATTAAGCTCCTTTAAGTGAGACTCAAGAACAGCTGCTAGACCTTTGTCTGAGTATTTGTGTTTCCCATGTCCAGTGTTGATTCCAAGCAACGGAGGCAACTCTTCTCCAGATGTCAGAGCTGCCTCTGTTAAGTCGTTCATCCAAACATGAAGAGCGGTTAAGGCTGCCCCAAGAGAGAGACTTTTCAGATGTAATGACCATTGAGTAGCAGATTTCGATTGTAGACCTGAATAAATGTCAAGCTCCAGCCCCAGTTGTAGAATCTCACAAGCTTTCTCAAGGTTATTGAGATTGACACAGAGATCAATCAAGCAATTCAAATATGCTTTCTTCACATCAGAGCCAATAGAATCAATCAGCTCAGATGCTTCCTTCTTCAACACCCCTTCCTCGCAGTTTTCATCCTGTACCAACATCTTTACTACTTGACCAAGCTTCGGCTTAGCCTTCTCCACACATTCAACGAGTTTACCAATCTCCTCCCTCGGTGTCAGGGTCATTACATTCAGAAGGCAGCCACAGAATCTCTCGTCCGGAGCTATACCAAGTTCCAACACCTGATCGAATGTCCTCACAACATCATCAACCTGCTTGGCTTTCCCATAACACTGGATCACTGACGTGAGGACAAAAAGAGTAGGCTCAAAACCAGCTTCTCTCATTTCAACCAGAGCCGCCTCAGCCTCTGAAACCCTCCCACAGCAAGAGTACACAGTGATCAGCGATGAGAAGGTCCAGCTGTCAGGAACACAAGTCCCAGAACTCTTCATATCTTGAAAAATCTCAAAAGCCTCATCCACATACCCGATATCAGCACACATGGACAAGAGAGTATTGTAAAGAATCACAGTTAACTCCAACCCTTTCTCCTTCATCTCTCTGTAGATAACAAGTGCATCATCCCCGTAACGAGCTCTACCATAGGCTCTAATAAGAGCAGCATAAGTACTCCAGTTAGGTTCAAAGCCATTGCTAATAAGATCCTTGTGGATAATCTTCGCCTGCCAAGGCCTCTTGGCTTTACCCATAGAATCCAACAACCTATTGTAAATAACCAGATTAGGCTTCACACCAAGAGACTTCATCTCTTCATAGATATTAAGACACCCATCATAGTTTCCGGAGAAACCATATATCCTAATCAAAGTCGAAAACGTAACAGCGTCAATACGCCATTTCTCAGTCCTTGCACGGTCATACAAGCTCAAGGCCATCTCAACGTTACCAGCACGCCCATAAGCATCAATCATAGCAGCTAAAGTGACGTTATCAGGGTCACAACCAAAGGAAGGCATTTTCTCAAACCACTCAACAGCTCTCTTAGGTAAACCACATTGCCTAGCACAGCTGATTAAAGTAGTGAAAGTTGCGTTGTCTGGTTTAACACCTCTCTGAAGCATATCCTGGAACAGCTTCTCCGAGTTCTCCAAATCCTTGGACTTCCTCAACACTTTGATTGTGACATTGTAGAGAATCACTTCCCTGGTGGGTTTTTTCATCTTCTCAAGGAGATTGTTCAACACAAGAGGCGCTGTTTCAGGGTTTTTCATGTTGTTGAGAGTAACAACAGCATCTTGCTCAAAGAGGTTACTACCGAACTTAGTTACTACATCAGAGACATCAGCCTCGTTTGGGGCACACGCGTCTAGAGACTCAGCTAGTTTGACGAGAGAAGAGTACCTCGAGTCGTATGACTTTCTACGGAGCTGAGAAGCTCTAGGGCTCTTGGGGTTCACCCAGGGGTGTCTTTTGGAGCCCGCGTCTGGTGGGTTCGCATCAAGTTTGGATTTTTCGATGTGGGTTTCATGCGGAATCGCTTCTTGTACTGACACGTGGCTTGTCTGGAGAAGGTTTCTTGGGCTGTAGGAACAAAGGAAACTCCTTGGAGTGGATTTAGGGAGAACTGAGAGGAGATTAGGATCGTGGAGAAGCGATGAAGGAGAGGAGTATAGATGAAATGACATTTCTTTCTTTCTCTTTGGTGTTTCTTCGCTGTGGAAGAGTCGGACCTTATCCAAGAAGCTAGTCGAAGCAGCTTTTTAGAAGAAGAAGAAGAAAATGAAGATGACGTGAATGTAACTGCGTGCTGTTTGTTTGGGTGAAACCCACCGCGTAGTGCGACTAACTTTCCTATACACGATGCATCTTATAGGCCCTGTTGCAGCTAAAAGCCCATTTATCTCAAATTAAATGGAAAATTCAAAGAAAGAACTAGGTCTGGGCATATTTCTCGTATCCGAGGATCCAAACCGGTACCAATCCAAAATTTTGGGTTTTGGGTCGGGTTCGGGTAGGCAAAAATATCCGGTTGGATATGTTTTTAAAATTAAATTGGGCACCGGATCAGATCAGGTTATATATGGAATCCATATGAGCACCTGACTAGACCCGATTTAAGGACTACTAAAGATATTTGTTAACCCTCAACGCCATTTAGTAATGCAACTTCTATTCCCAATTCTCTTTTACTATCATCTCGAATGATTCCACTTCCGACTTTTACGATTTCAGATGCATGCGTAGTGGCGGTAGTGCGATTATAAAGAGTAGATGACATGAAAACCTCAAAGCAATTCCAAACCGAGTCTCTTCCTTCACTTTCTGAGTCTTCAAGGAACATATCTCAGATAAGGATTCAGAGACTTCAACTTCAGTTTTGTTCTTTGTTTTTTAAGAACTGTTTTGTTCTTGTTTTACTTACGGAAGTTCTTTTTTCACTTCTTATATAGATTAATTGATTTGTTATTGAACCATTGTTGGAATCGATTTGTTCTTGTCTTAGAGTTTGTGATCGTAGTGTTCTAGTAATCGATTTGTTATTGAACCTATCTCCACAGAAGATGTTGCCGACTTACTCCAGATGGCCAATGGACCTATCATCGAAAACGACCCGAACCAGACAAAACGCCCATCGACCGATGCATGGAGACGAGCATCGATCGATACCCACCGAGAGTATGGGGCGAGAGCTTTCCAAAACGGAGAACGTCGTTTCTTTTGGGAAAAGAAAGATGAATATGGAGTCTACAGAGATGAATCTGGCCATGCACGAGCAGTAAACGGAGACATCATCCCTGTCACCAAAGAAGATATGGAAAACTTGCTGAAAAGAGCCTCACTCTTTGGTTGCTCTTGTTTCTGCCTACCAGGATATGCTGATCAGTTTGCTAAAGGAGTTCCAGATGGCAAGCTCTATACACAGAACAAAGTCACCTACATGCTAGATGGCCTAACCAGCGATCACAACTGGAAGATAGCAGGCGCGAAAGTTGACCTTGAGGAAAAATTATCAAGACTTCGAAGTGAAATGCTATGGCAGACCAACCACAATGACCAAGTACGAAGGAAACGAGACGCCCTACAAGAAGAAGTCAAATCTCTGCGCGCACAACTGAAGTCTCAACCACAGCCATCTACCGATACAGATCCCCCTTGCATCGATCGATGTACCCGTACGTAACCCAATCGAAGACCACTTCCAGAAGCTATCGATCGATGACAAACCCAGTCCATCGATCGACACCAGTGCTCAAGAATTCTGTACGAGGGAAGAATTTGAAGAAACCACAGCACAAATCTACAAATCTATCCAGTTTTGTGAAGACGAAGATTACAGAATCCTGGATGAATATTGGTTTCACCTACACAGTGATTTCAAAGGTCTGCAATGCACAATGGAAGATATTCAGACGGAGGTAGCAGATATCAAGAGACAGCTCGCCAGCCAACCTAACCCATCGCCATCGATCGATGAAGCACCCAACGCATCGATCGATATGCAACCTCCAACCTCAACCGACGATCCAACACACCACGACACCATGCAGCGCACAACAGAACATATCTACAGCATGATTGGCAACCATCAGTACAGCCTTGCCAACTTAGAAGGGTGGTTAGAAAGGATCCAAGCAGAAGTTTATGGTTTGAAGACTAGCATGACCAGAAGTGAGAAAGCCACAAGAAGCTTTCTAACCTCTTGGTTTGATGAAACACAAGAAAAGGAGGACACTTGTTTACCAACAAGTACCTGCAACCCACCTCACTAGCAACCATACTTCCATAGTCAAGCTAGACTGACTTTAAACAAGCGCTGAGTGGGAGGCAACCCACTGTTAGGTATTTTACTAACTTATTTTATTTTATTTTTACTTACTAGTTTCGTTTTTATTTGTTTTTAGGAAGATAGACACACGATCAATACCCATCGACCGATACGAACCAGTCGATATCACTCGACACAGACCAACACGCATCGATCGACGATGGCGACTCACCATCTATCGATACCCATATCGGTCAGGTATATCGTTTCCAATTTTCGATATCAGTTACACATATTTAATTTTTCTTATGATCTAACTCCGACTAACTATACACTGAGGACAGTGTATGATTTAAGCATGGGGGGAGTTGATTACTGATGCTACTTTACCTCTTTTTGATCTTTTTGATAAAGTTTTCAAAAATTGGTTTTATTGAGTCAAGAAAGGGAAAAAATTTCAAAGTCTTACTTTTTATCTTACCACTCTTTAGCACCATTCTTAGTTTATTTGATTGCAGAAAGTACTATAGATGCTAAAGTGGATCACCGATCACCTATGTCAACACTTTCATGATTGTCTGGAAGAACCAAAGCTGATTTCCAACCTAACCTGACATCTATTGCTTGTCTTGGGGCTTGGTATACAAGGGATCGGAATCCTCTTGCAAGTCTGGAAGGTAAAAATCTCAAAATTTTTGGTTTCCTTCTTTCCTTCCTTCGGCATCCCCAGAAAATAAAAGATTGAGATGATTTCCTGAGAGGCAGAGGGAGAGGTACATTACCTATGACCCCACTATTCGCTTACAAATTGAGAAAGATCAATAAGATGAACATTAACTGTTCATTGGGATTGATATAAAAGAAAGAAGAGTTGGGATTCAGAGAAGGGGGATAAAGAAAGAAAGGGAACCAGGATGAGAATGCCTGAAAACTTGTTTGAGTTGAATCCAAGTGTTCCTTGATNATTACCTATGACCCCACTATTCGCTTACAAATTGAGAAAGATCAATAAGATGAACATTAACTGTTCATTGGGATTGATATAAAAGAAAGAAGAGTTGGGATTCAGAGAAGGGGGATAAAGAAAGAAAGGGAACCAGGATGAGAATGCCTGAAAACTTGTTTGAGTTGAATCCAAGTGTTCCTTGATCGATACTCCCAAGATAAAGCCTACACCTTTATTTTTATGCATAAATGAAATCAGTAGAGGGGATAGACAGACAAGGAATGTTTAAGTTGATTGGCTAGATGATTAGGTTGCTAAGCTAGGATATGGTATAATGTACTCCTGAAGTTGATAGGAATAAGATGTGGTTTGCAACAAAGTAAGAGGTTATGATTTTTAAGTTAAGATTTTGATTGAGTCCCTGCTGTTTTTAAACTTCTTTTCAAGACTAACTTAATGTTTGCTTGAGGACAAGCAAAAGGTTAAGTCTGGGGGAGTTGATAGACCATGATTTTGACCCGCTTTTGGTCATATTTTCTATATGTTTTTATTATAATTATCTATGTTTTGGAGTCTATTAGGTATGTTTTCAGGTTCAAGAGCATTTTGTGGTAAAGTGATGATTTAGGTGCCTTTTGGTGCTTAAAGAAGAGTTTTCCAAGATGACTATGAAGATCCGATATAAGAGATACATATCGATCGATACACACCCTGTGTAATCGATCGATGACGCTTCCGTAGAAGTTGAAGTCGAGATCCTCCATCGATCGATGTACGCAATGTACCATCGATCGATACAGAGNTTTGCTATGAATCTCTTGGCTATGTCTGAGTAGATTCATATGTTAGATTTGGGGTTCAAATAGTTATGAGGGATTAGCCCCAACTATGGATTGTTGAGTTGTTATATTCATTATCCAAATGAACCCTAATGCTTACTCTAGACTTGCTACCTAGAGTATTGATTATGGAGTGACTAATCTAATAGTCATCTTCCTGAAAACATTTGGCTGAACCCAGACTCTATTAAGGCACGATGCGATAGCCGGTCTTATAGAAATTCTCGGGTGAACAATAGTTCGATCCGATCTGATACTTAATATCGATCGATGCTCTTCTAGGGTTATCGATCGACGACAGCTTATATCGATCGACACTGCGATAGCAACATCGATCGATGCAGTCGGCAATCAGATCAATGGACGAGTCTAACTAGCGACACCTATAGATTTGTCTAAGGATTGAAGTTCTCATATATTTGCAAGCAATTCGTTAAGACATCCATAGATCTATAATCCTGATTTTCTGAATAGTAACCTTGAATCTAACTATTTTCCTTCATCGTTTTTAACCCAAAACCTATTCTCTTTAGCAACTTACCTTTGCTACTTATTTTATTTACTGTATTAAACCTTTTTCAACCTAGCTTAATCACTTAGGATTATATCTTTTGTGTATCTAGTTCCTTTTGGATTCGATCCCTAAGTACTACGATTGAACCTCTTTTGATGAGAGTAATTCACAAGGTCTGATCGGTTGCTATGCCTTCCAGATTGGGCTTGAGGCTTACTCGGCCGTATGGATCCAGGCTCAAGGCCGGATCAGGTAAGGATGTCCATTGGGCCATCAAGCCGGACATCATGGACGGGTCAAACCTAGATTTTATCTGGTTAAGACGGATTGGTCTTTGGGGTGATCCAGATCTGTTTTGTGTAGTCTTATTATTTTCTTTGAAATGTTCTATCTGATTCTGAATCATGTGGGGTGGTTGGTTTATTGACCCAAGATAGGTAGACATGTTCATAAAATATATGATTATATTGATTGAGTTTTATATACGTTCTAGGAACCAAGCCAAGCATTGTAGAATTGATCTATTCTATACTCGATTGTGATTAATGCTTAACTGGTTGTGGTTTCAGGAATTAAGGATGGTTTTGATCAAGCCAAGGAGCTGTGAAGGCTCGGTCAGTGAGAGGCTATGCAACGTGTGGGTGGATAATGCTAGGGACGAACTAGTTATTGTCTATGAAACTATGACCAAG